CCCTCCCATACAATCCTTCTAGGATGGGTCCCACTATCAACATGGAAATTAAAGGCTAATTCTACTAGCAAAAAAGGTGTACAAATAGTTGGTGTAAACTGTGAAGCAACAATACCTAATGATTCAGCATTTTTAGCCTTATCTTAAAAGAACAAATGATGAGCCTAACGAAACTCTTTTATATAACTTTCTCTTTTGATATTACGTACGAAAAATATATATTCCTATTTATTGTGAAATTGAATTTTGCCAGAAAATAACAAAATAAAATTGTTTTATTTAAAGTCTATGAACTGATTAATTTGAATAAAATTAACCGCTTTTGACAAGGAAAAAAATGAGCCTCATTGCAAGATATTTTATCTTTTTATTAAATTAAGGCATTTTTCTTCTTCATGTAAAACGTACTCCCTATATCACGAGAAGAATAATATATTTATTGTTTTGAAAAAAAAGGAGTTTCTTAATGCCTTTTTCAAAAATCTTTTATATACTTTTAGCTATAACAATTGTAATTTATAACATCTTATATAGTTTCTGAGTATAAATTAGATCTAAAAAAGGTGAACAATCGATATAGAAAACTAAATATGTTGCCTCGTGTGCTTCGTCTAGTCATAATGCTATTTTATTTTATTTTTGGACAAGGGATTACTTTATTTATTCTTGAGAAACTAATTTTTTCCTATGAATACAATAATATTTTCCTTATTTTAATGGGGCCCATGGTCAAGGTCACCCTAGCACTGCAAACAATCAGCACTAAGCTAAAAGACATCCAAATCATGGGTTTTTCTGTACGTTTTTTTTCATATCCCACTGGCAAATTTAAGGCCTTTTCTTTGGGTTTTCCACTAATTGGTATTCGGTATTTGTGCCGGGGTACGATTAAATTCGGATTCGCCCCAAATTTTTTTCCTAGGAGGGTAAAACGCTACCTTAAAAACGCAACTTCACACCCAAAGTTCAAACTCGAGTCCTCGAATTAAGGATGAAGAAATACTTACCACTCCGCTGTAACCCTCGATGGAAGCAATTCTAAGGCTTTATTAAACATCATGTCAGCTGATCACTACATTCTTTGGTTTATGTATAAATGTTAAAAAAAATATTTGGTAATTAAACAAAATGAGCTTTATATTAGATAATATTATATAGTCCGAAATGACTATCATTTAACGATCAAATTCGTTGATTGTGTGATCAACTTATCTAAATAGTTTAAACCGTTAGAAAAAAATTAATATTTATTTATTTATTTAGTTATATTTTAATATATTTAACCTACAAATAAAGTCAAATACCCTAACCCCCTCCCCCCTCCCCTCCTAAAACTATCAACTATTTTGTGTGCAATATAGTTTAGTGAAATTTTAGAGACATCCAATAATTTATGTACGTACTGACGAAAAGTTAATAGTTTAGGACTATCTTAGGGTATTAACTCTCAAATAAAAGAAGTTTTCTTATACAAATTCTTTCTCCTAATTAAAACATAAAAAATTTAAAAGATGATTGGGACACTATTAACTCATCCACAATCAACTTTCTTTCTTTCTTTTGAGTGCTTCCCACTGTATATTTAGATGTCCCCCTTAAAAAGGAAAAACATAAATAAATAAATAAGCATAACAACGTAGCCCCACTTCTCATGCAATGACGACACAATTCACTCAAAAAAATTAAAATCAAAACAAATAATTAAATCCATTCTTTTCATCTCTATATATAATCTCCTCCCTTTACTCATCCTCTTCATTCCATTCTCTCTTCTTCCTCCTCCTCCATCACCACCACCATTAAAAAAAAAAAAAAAATCCCAAAAACCTTCTAAATTTAGTAAATTTTCGTTATACAATAAAGTTTGATTCTGAGGCGACTAAACTACGTAATTACAAAATATTTCGACTTGAAAAACAAAGATTATTTATCAGATGACGAATTTAGAGTCATCTTCTTCTACCGCTATTTCTCCGGCGGGGCCGCCACGATCACCGTGGCACTCACCGGTACCGTATTTATTCGGTGGATTAGCAGCTATGTTAGGACTAATTGCATTTGCTTTATTAATATTAGCATGTTCTTATTGGAGACTTTCAGGGTACCTTGAAAATAATGAAGGTGAAAATGAAGATGATATTGAAGCTGGAGAAAGGAATAATAATGGTAATGGATCTGATATTAAGGTTGTACCACCAATTTTTGAAGAGAAGTTTTTGGTTATTATGGCTGGAGAAATGAAGCCAACTTTTATTGCTACACCTATATCTAGTAGGGTTTCATCTTTTGGTAGCTGCAGTAGTGGTTGTACTGCAAGCAGTGAGAGTAGTACGGAGAAATCGGAGGGAGAAGAGGAGGGAGAGAAGAAACAAGAAAATAGGGTCTCGAGTTTGAGTCCTGAAAATGTAGAAAGTGCTCCTAACATGGAACGGGAGACCGTTTGATGATCTTTTGCAATGCGAATCTGAATTAATTGAGCCGGTGAATTCAGTGAGGAAATTGGTGGACATGAAGTGGAAATGCTCAAATTAGGCCCCTTAATTAAAAAAAAAATGAAGAAAAATTAAGGGAAATTAATTTGCTTTATAAATTATTGGATTTTTTATTTTCTATGGGTATGAGGTGCTAGGAAGATTAGGAATTGGGAGGTGGTTTTGAAAAAAGTAGAGGTGGATATAACTTTTTTTTTTTCCTTTTCTTGGAAATTCCGGAAATGTATATACTTTTTGGAGAATGAATGGGAAAACTTTATTTTGGTAATTTAATGAAGATCTTAATTAGTTTTTTATTATCATTCTTTACATATGCTATTATTCATCTAAACTACCTTTAAAACAAATGTTGATGCTCTATAGGAAGCCAAACAAAGAGAAAATGCATAACTTTAAGCATAGCATATAGGATTACGATGTTATTATATTCACCTTATTTCTTCGTTGAAGGTACGATCCCTTTCCATCATTACTATTTTTTCTTGCTTTAATAATATTTTTATTTATAGCTATCTTTATTTAAATTTAAAAAGAAGAGTATCTGAGCAATGATAAAGTTATCTTTGTGTGACCTATATGTTACGTGTGTGAGTCGTAGAATCAGCCACTGATACTTGCATCATCATGATAGGTTGTTTACATCACATCCCTCAATGTAAGGCTCTTCCCCGGACCGTGCGTGAATACGGTATACTTCGTGCACTCGGCGCTGCCCTTTACTTTTATTTAAATTTATAAAATTTCTCCAACTTCTAGATTGAGGATAAAATAAAGTAGAAGAAAATGAAAGTATTATTATTCAGTAGAGAATGCCTTATTTTGTGAACATATTCTTTTCTCCAACCTTTATGTAGAGATTCTAGTTTTTTATATATATTGTATCAATTTATCATTATCTTGTCATATATATGGTGTGAATCACCCACCTTAATAATAGTTAGGTAGACATTGAATGAGATGTATCTTGATGTGGTCCTAAGAACTGAGATCCCAACCCTGAAATGCCTGAATATTATAAAAAGGTTCCTCTCTTTTATTTTTTATTATAAAATATTCAGTTATATACATATACATACATATTTAAAAAAATTACTAAGGGAGTGACCTATTGGTCAATAAAGTGAGTGAAAAACCCTAACGTCTCAGGTTTAAATTTCAACAAAGACAAAATACTTGGTGATTTCTTTTGATATTTTTAAGTTTTGGTGGACAAAGTTATTTGATACTTGTATTAATGAGAGATAGCATATTTGATAAAATAGTTGAGATACATGCAAGCTGGCGACCACCACTATATCATAAAAAAAATAGATCAGTTAAAAATGATAATATGAAGATTTAATTTCTGGTAATTTATTTATCAATCTTTTATATTACTAATTTATCTATCTCATTGGATAAAAAATCGTATAACTAAAAGAAAATTTATACTATAAAACTCGATAAGGTGGTCCAATGGTTTAGCTTTAAGCCTTTAACGAAGGGAGTAGTTCAGAAATTCACATGAAAAATCAGACACCTAGGCTTTTTAACCTGAAACTGAAGGAAACAACAAGAATTTCATGCATTAATTTCTTGTACTGTAGTTGTAAGTCACGTGACACTTGTATGAACACGTGTACGACATTACACTTGGGTTACTACACCCTACCCCCTCATGAGTCGAAGGGGGGCGGGGGGGGGGTTGTTTTAGGGTTACTGTTGAAGACTTGCCTTTGATATGTGGCGACTTCAAAAGGCTGGTAACTCACCTATTGTCCCATGGAAAGGGCAAATTTTTTAAGTTATTAATTCGAATTCGTGTCGAAAAATTTTATTTTAAAATGAAACGTTATATCGTGTGAGATGTATTTTTCTCATGATAAGTATTTCTTTATTTATAATTAGAGATTTCGGGTTCGAGCAGTGAATGTAACAATGATGAGTATATACATATAACATCCACAAAGGCAGAGATCTAGGATTTATATTGTACGGATTCTAGAAGCAACTGAAATACAACACACTAACCATTTGAGTTACTAGATTCAAAATTTTAAATTTATTAGACTTCTTAAAATATATATTCCCTCCGGTCCAGAATAAGTGACTAATTTGCTTTAGGCACGCCCATTAAAAAAATACTAAATTCTATACAAAAATACCTAGTATGACTAAACTACGTCCCTTAGTTAAATATTTAATGCGAGGAGTAAGAAAACTTTTTAGGGATATGTACATAAGGATAATTTTGTAAAAACAAATTGAATTTTTTCTTGATTAGATAAATGGACACTTATTTTGAACCAAAATAAAAAAGCAAATTGGTCACTTATGTGAACCGGAGGGAGTATATAGTAGTACACGGTATGAGCCAAAAGTATTGGGTAGGCCCGAAACTCATAGCTAATATTGTACATTCGCCCTTGAACATCATCTACTTCCTCCGGTCTACTTTAATTGATTTTTTGATTGTTTTCACACATATTAAGAAATTCACCTTTTTGTATTAATTAACAATAAGATTGATTATATTAACCTTAATTTCTTCATTGAAAATATAACAAATAATCCCGGGCTCTTTACTTCAAGGGCAACTTTGGAAAAAGAAGTTAATTTCTTTCTAATATCTGAAAAAAATTAAATATTGTGGAGCACAAAAAAAGTCCAAAAAATTAATAAAGTGGATCGGAGGGACTAACTATTTTTCTTATTCAAGAGATGTTAATATGGCTCAGCTCCCTAATTAAAGATAGTTTACTCAAATTAAACATAGTGACACTACTAGAAATCCGGGTTTCAGCGACCACAAAAAGCGACCAACGTTGGTTTGTTTATGCAAAATACCGACCAAAACCCGTCCAAACAGGCTTGTTGCTATTTTAGTGGTCGCTTTTGTATACCGACCAAAGTTGGTCGCTAATTACCGACCAAAGTTGGTCGGTAAATTAATTTCAAAAAAAAAAAATATTGCAAAAAAAGCCGACCAAAGTTGGTCGGTATTTTAATTATGTAATCAAAAGATTCACTGTTTGGGAATCGAACCAGGGTGTGTACTGTGGCAGGATACTATTCTACCACTAGACCATTGGTGCATTTTGTTTTAAGATTGTCTTTTTATTTATTTATACTCTTTAGTTGTATTTTTGCACGAAAATAATCGATCAAAGTTGGTCGGTTTTATTAAAAAATAAAATTACTGACCAAAGTTGGTCGGTTTTTTAAAATGACCAGCCGATTTTACCGACCAAAGTTGGTCGGTTTTTTTAATATTAATTTTTATTTATTTTAATTGCAAAAACCGACCAAAGTTGGTCGGTTTCTTGAAAAATAAATTTCGTGGGACTCAAAATAATTTCCCACATTTTTGCGCCAAAGAAAACCGACCAAAGTTGGTCGGTTTCGTAAAAAAAAGTTAAAAATTAAAATATTTTGAAAACCGACCAACTTTGGTCGGTTTTTGGCCGGGGTTTTTACCGACCAAAATTGGTCGGTTTTTGCCGAATTTCTAGCAGCGTGATGATCTTATTTTTTTATGGAATAAGTGCCATGACTTGTTGCTGCATATGAGAGTGAATCTAAATGGGGTAATAAAAAATCAACAGATTGATTTTGGTTTGTGAAAATGATATCAAAATAGGATAATTGCATACATAGGGAAAGGAGTTTTCAAGATTTAATGATGGTATTTTTACTTGGGTAAGTGGTACACAACAGCACGCATTGTCTTGTTTAGTGGGTGCATTCTCTTTGAATACCTCTACTTTTGTTGAGTTATTGGTTTGTACACCTTATTTGTGGAATCATTTTAATTGACTTGTAACCATAATTATCTTTCACAAAATTATTGGCCTGCACTCCATTTGAGCAACGTCACTTTGGTGGGTGAGATAAGTAGAAGCGAACCCATGATTTGAAGGTGACAGGATACATAAGTGGACTATAGATAGAAGCAGACTCAGTTTGAAGGTGACGATATGTATATAAGCGAATTGCTCAATCAGTGTCCCATCGAACTTTTGATCTTAAGGGTTTCAAATAAAATATATAATTATTGTCGACATATATGCACATATATATCTAGGTTAACAGGGTCCGGTGACCTCTCTTTTCGGTACATAAGTCCGCCTCTGGTGATGGGGATCGGAAGAGAAATTTATTATGTCACAAAGTACAAAGTGTATTTGATTGTTTTATTACTCTTCTGATATTAGTAAAATTTTATCTGCGGTTGATATTTACATCAAAATAATGAAGGTAAGACACGTATCTTTTATACATATGTTTATCCCTTAATCATTGTTTAGTAATATGCATTCTCGCTAACAAAGTTAAAATTATTTGGTCAAGTGCAAGTAAATAACTAAATATTTACCAAACTTAATTGAACACTTCCTAAAAACTTAACAGATAAATAAGTAAAAAAGACATGGGAATAATCTCCACCATAAAGAATCCAATTACTTCTCAAAGTGACGTGCAAATGTCCATCATTAAAAGAAGCACAAATAATTAAGAAAAAGATGCGGCAACATGAAAATGCCCCTTAAATGCAGTACACTCTCCACTGTATTTCTTGAATAAAGCATAGTGTTAAATAGTGCAACCTTGTACTATCACTCGAACATTAGAATCGGATTCAGAATTTGAAATTTATGAGTTCGGAATTTTAGCTTTATTGAGTTATGAAATTTTAAATTAATAATTTATACATATTAAATATTTTTAAAATAAACATATGATTTAGATCAAAATTACTGCATTCGGCCGAACTTATAGCTGAAACTCTACCTCCGCTCCTGAGTCAACTCTTAAACAAGATAATTATGAAAGCACTTTTTTTTGCTTACTTTTAGGACAAACTAAAGTTTGCCAAGTGTTTGTATGATACTCTTCTATGCTTTCATTTGAAAGTTCTTTAGCTATCTTCCATTCTTATTTCCTTCACAAGCATAATTAGAGAGATGCTCATTCATTTTTAGACTTCCTTTCTTGTCTAATCTTACCTTTTGCTTAGATCACATCCATGGTTGCCCTTTTACGATTCAAATTTGAGTTAATTTCTCAAAGTCATCCAAATTATGCTATTGAACTTTACCTCCAATTCATTGTTGGGCTTTTAAGCTTGGTGTAGCTTAAAGAGGGTGATTGGAAAATGGAGGGAAAATAAAATGTTTGATTTTCCCTCCTTGGCAAAGGAACATAGTCCTATATTGGAGGAAGAAAAAAATTTTGATGGGTATATATACAATTGCTCTTCTTCTAGCTCTTAAAGAGTTAAGAAGAAGGCAAGC